CTGATTTTGCACGTCGGCCTACTGCTAGCGTGCAACCTAGGGTAGTAAGGACGGAATACACCAACATAGTCATAGTGAAGCCAAGCGGGAGCAAGATTTTTGGCAAAACTAAGTCAAAGATTATCGGAGACTTTATCCGAAAGGGGTGGAAATACACTTCTCTTCCGAAGGTTAAAGTTCTGGCCAACGGCAAGGTGACGCTGAATTTCGAGCACCTGGGCCCCGTTTCACTTAAGTGTGTAAGTATACGACAAAATATTACACTTACAATAATCTTACGCAAATTCTTGTGCATGTTTCACTAACAAACTTAAGAAGATCATAGCTACGAAAGATTTACGCACGCAGTCCACGGCATTGTTTTGTTGAATTTACATCTTTATTTCATCAATTTACAGAAAATAAATATATTTCATAAAACTTTTAAGTCCCATAAATACTTTTAAAAAGTCTAGAGTTGTGAAAATTTGCTAATTTTTGCTCAAAATGATCGTAAAATTTTGAAGTGTGACATGACATCACTTTGAAATTTATGACGTCATCTTAAATAACGATTGACAGTCGAAAAAATTGAATAGTCATAATAGCGAAAATAAGGAAAATTATGCAGAGAAAATGCGAAAACACCAAAGGCTTGGATATTAATAAGTTCTCGAAACAGAAATTGGATAGTTTCATCTATTCTAAAGCATTTCTTGAATTAAGAAAAAGTTACGATAGAGTATAGCTGTCGTAAGTTACGCCAAAATTTCTTAGCGTAAAAATTTTAGTGAAACTCAAATTTTCGATTTTTTCTTACTTAAGACAGACTTAAGAAAGTTTTGGACTTAAGAAGTTTAGTGAAACGGCACCCTGGCACATGCAGTTTACACTGCAAACCAACCAGCTGTGTGTGTAACGAAGATGGGCCTTGTCATTTATGGCATCCCATTCGAATATTCTGAGGGTGAATTGCTGGAGGATCTCAAACTCCACAATCACACTGTAGAGGGTTTTTTTTCCTTTACAACCCCGGGAAGGCACGTGTGTTAGGACTGTCCAATTAACTTTTGTCAGCGAAAAGTCCCTTATAGCCCTGTTCTCCTTCTTTATTCCAGGTACCAGCACCACCCGTACATACCAAAGGGATGAAGATGTCAGAAGCTGGGTCATCTAGAGAAGTCCTGCCGTAGCAAGCTTTGTTGCAAGAAATGAGGTGAGGGACACAGTACGAAGCTGTGTAAGCCAAAGAAGGTTCGGTGTGTTAATTGTCAGAGTCAAATGAGTACGTTGAGGCCAATGACCTAGTTAGCTTAAATGATGGTAGCATTACTTATGTCAGTGTAATTGCTCCTCTTGGTTCGCATCGCGATTTCATTTTAGTAAGCAGGTTAGCTAAGGACTATACATGGGAAACAACCAGTGAGACCCTTGGAAGTGAAGTCAATCTATCATGTAATGTTCTGAAGCAGGTCATGTGTCAAGGCACATTTAGATTAAGGAAGGCAAACTGGGATTTCTTTAGGCATCATTTCACTTGTTCAAGGGACAAGGACGTTGCTAGATTTTCTGGGAAGTTTACTCAGGTTATTACCAATGCTGCTATGGGCTCTATTCCCCGAACTAAGGATGGCATTGCACTGCACGTAGGTCACCCAAGTCCTGGTGGTCCAGTGAACTCCAGGCTACTGTGGATGTTCGCAAGCGTGCTTTATAGCAGTTTTAGAGGAATTCTGACCTGAACTCTATGTGAAACATTTGAGACGCTAGCCCGGGGTCTCAGGGGGGGCCAAATTTTTTTAAGAGGGGCTCAACGCACTCCAGACCAGTTGGTTCCCCGTTAGTCAAGGTGTGAAACAAGGATGTGTCTTATCCCCAACTTTATTTTCCATTTACGCTAATGATCTCGTCGGTGACATAAATGAGTTGAATTGTGGAATTGAAGTCGACAATGGAATGATTACAATTTTACTATATGCAGACAATATTGTGTTACTAGCACCGAACAAACTAGCTTCAAAAACTGATTGATACGCTAAGCGTATGGTGTGAAAAATGGAGACTGTTAGTAAATCAAGACAAAACTAAGATTATTCATTTCCGAAATAAAAATGTTGTGAGGAGGGCGTTTTTATCAACCGATTTTATTGGGGTTTTCTTCATCGTAATTCTTGTGACAAAGGACATATGATAGCAGTTGAAAATTTTGGATTTTCGAAAATTCGTTCTAGACTTTTTTTGCCAAAATTAAACGAAAAATACTATTTCGGTTGTTATTCGACGGATTGACTTGAAACTTACATGGTCTACAACACCAGCATATTGGAATAAAAGCACACATTCAAATTTTTTATATCACTTCCGGTTTGAATTTTTGTTGTGCACATGCGCGTTACCAACTTTCTTATTTATTATCTGAATTTAATCAAACTTGGTATGTAGGTGTATAATCAAATTCTAAATTTGATTGAAATAGTGAATTTTTATTGTGCGCATGCACTTATTTGAATTTCATCAAACTTGGTCTTTATCAATTGACAAACATTCTTATATTCCTAGACAATACTTTAAACTCCAGGGGCTTGTTTCTCGAAACAGTCTTTAAGCAGTCTTCACCTAAGGATTGTCTTTAACCTGACCTTATAATTTTGAGGGTGTATCTCAAAGCAATCCTTATTTAAAGTGTAGTCCTAAACTTGGCATTTTAAGGACAGTGTTAAAGGTTGTACCAGACCTGTCCTTAACCATGCGCTAAACTGTTTCTGTCAATTCACTTATTAAAATGGCCATGTACTTGTACATTGACAGTTCTTTGGATGTTAAAGAATTAAGGATAACTTTGCTGAGTGTGAAAACCATGCAGGGTAAAATCTCAGTGAGTTTTACATCATAGAGTTATGTGCGGAACTGGAAGCCATGTAGTTTACGGACAGTGATACAGTCTTTATCATCTAAGTCACAGGTCACTAGTATATATATATCTCGTGCGGTATGTTTACTTCTGTCAGATTTAAGGAACACAAGATCTCCGGATGACACGCGTTACGTAGTTGGGATGCCTTTCGTAGGATTGAGCATCGGCCAAGGCACTGTCAGAAAAATTGAGCTGCTCTCCTGTTATCAAGTCACGCTGGAAAAGTATTTCTCTAGCAGAAAATCCACGATTGCGAATACGACCATTTAACATGGCGACAACAGTAGCTAATTGACTGGAGGTTACAGAACAACCGACGGGAAAAACTTTTCTTAACTGTTTCTAGTTTTTTTCAAACGGCCAACTTCTAATTGAAGGTTATTCCGGGACTTTTTAAGAGGGATTGAAAGCCAGATGCACCATCAGCGCGCACAATAATATGTCCAGTTTAAAGATGAGCAGTAGTTTCAAGCAGCACGTTTAAAAGTTTGTCTCTTTTCTCATCCGAAATAATCAAAGCTTTGGTAAAGGACGAAAATGAGTCTCTAAGAACAAATATTTTTTGACGACTTCGACACAATATGTCACACGCAAAGTCAGTGCCAGGAGTAGATGCATTTTGTAACAGTTGTAAAGTCCATAAGTTCACTAGGCACCTTTTGTAATGAGGAGCATTGGATGCAGCTTGTTGTTGTCTACTAAATAGTTTTCTTAGTTGAGACTAAGATGGGTGGTTGAACCGTAAATGTAGAGCAGTTAGCAGTCCTGGTAATATATGATGTGGAACGATTATGAAGGTTCTAGTGGCACTAAAAACTACCTTTTGGGGTACAACAAGGACACCGTCACTACCGATTGAAGCAGACTGTAAATATCGTTTTACATCCTTAGCATTTGTCACATTCTTAGACGGACGAGTTCCTTGAGAGAGGTGGGAATATACTCTACGAAGATGTTGACATTCTTGTTGTGACTTCTTCCATGAATCAAAGCTTAGGAAAAGCATACATGCTTTGCCATGGAAAACGTTGGAAACAGAAACGCCTAAGACAGGTGTGTTTGATGTGTGCAATAAATTTACAGATTTGACAGTTTGCATTGTTATATTCCATTAGATTTCGGGTTAAATAGTCCCTAGGTATATTAAGCTGTCCGTTAAAATTTGAGTTTGGTGAACTGAAACTAAAATATAGGGACTCCAGTGATTATAGCCAACGCCACGACTTCACAGGGTAACCATTTCTGTTGATGGGATTTTAATTTGGCAGAGAAGAATCCGCCTAAAAGCATGCGATCACCATGTCTGATGTATAGTATAGTACAGAACCGATGCCAGCATTCACAACAGCTCCGTCATGAGTGATTATAAGATGATCAGTACATCATGGATTGTGATACACTTGGGGTCCTTTAAGGCATATTGGGCATCTTTAAATGCGTTTGTGACGCTTTTCCAGATTCTAGAACTGAAAGGAGTTTAGAGTATCAAGGTATACAAGCCTTTATATGTTTGAAAACCCCTAACCATGAACGAAGTCCTTTTACGGTTTGTCGCAGATAGCTAATGGATTAAGCTTGTGGGGAGATACACTTGTGGTACCAGAAGATCATATCCATCCAAGCACAGTAGTAGACGTAGAGCATATCACAGTTTTACTAGCCAAAATTATTGAATGACATTGTTTGTAACACCTTTTCCCAATTCTGTAAAAGATCTGGCACGTTGGAACCGCCGACATAAAGATCGTCAGCTAACTTTATAACCTAATACAGCCTAATACAGTACATGAACTCATCTAAAATTTCAGTGGAACCGGGCATTCCCATTGCGGCTTGCGTTTAAACACGTATTTCTTTAAATGGTGTTACTACATCAAAAATTGTTTGGTCATATCAGTCTTAATAATGTAACCCCACTGTGAAAGAAAGCGAAGGACGGCTTCAGTTGATGTTGACCTAGAGGGGATTGGTTTTGTAATGGGCGCAATATTGTTAAAGGCTGTAACTAAGCTAGTACCACCCTCAGGTTTTCTTGTGAGAAAACTTGGAGAGACACATTCAACGCTCACATTAACATCTTCAGGCTTAGCTTATACACCTAACATTTCTAATTCGTCCATCTTATTCTGTAATTCATCAAGGTTCTTTCTCTCGTACATGGGTAGCCTCCCTTTTTGAGGTGGGGTTCCACCGGACCCATATTTATAGATGCTTTAATGTTACCGGAGGCACCATTGTATTTGCCAATTTTATAGTCAAATACGGAGTCATATTGTGAGTGTAAAGCGTCAAAAGACTGATGATCGCGAAGTTGTAGTTGTTTGATAGGATTAATTTGAATTGATTGAAAAAATGGTTCATCAAGTTTTGAAACGTATGTATCTGCAATTTGAGAAATATTGACGTCAAAAGGTAAAATATCTTCATCAAGTATATGTCGAACCTGTGCAATATGTTGATTCTTTTTAATTGATATAATACTGTCACTTTCATTAGGTATACAGACTTTACCAGCAATTACCTTGATAATATGTGGGGACGGCCACGTTGAAACAATTGAATCACAGCGTGGTTCGAGAGACACATTCGAGTCATTAAGGTCTGGTGGTACTGAGAGCTCAAGAAATGCAGGATGTAGAACGTTGGGAGAGGAGGCCCGTAACAGAAACGAATCAGTATGCCGAACAGTCGCTGAACGGACGGAAGTTTTAGAAAAATAGTATTTGATAACTTGAATACCTATGCGGATTGCATCATTAGGTATATCCAGAATTATATTATTTTGTCTCATGAATGGCATGCATGCAAGAATGTCAGCATCTAGATCTTCTACAACAAGTGCTTCCAATCTTAATTGAATGTCACCACGCCTTAATCCAATATGAATCTCGCCAATGATCTTTAAGGGAGATTTTCCATCGGCCTGGCTTGCAAAGTGCTTAGTTGGGAATATAGATACTTGGATTTGCTTAGCCACGGTATGCTTTTTAAGGGACGACGTAGCACCGGTCATGCTGACTCACTGTCCGGTATGTCAATAGGGTCCACATCTTCTTCAAGATCATTGGTAGTGTCAATTCGAAATGATTTCGCAATATCCCATTTTTCGGTTGTAGAAATGTGGTCGCATTCCCTGATTGTGTGGCCATAGCTGCGGCAATTGGCTGCTTTACATATATAACACAATTTACTGGGAGTACTAGTATTTGAAAACTTCCTTGAAGTGTTAGTTTGAAATTTTCTGGGGAAGGTTTTACTGGATTGGGAGTTGAAATTGTACGATTCGCTTGGAGAAAGTCGGATCCGAGCGGATTTCAACACTTCTTACTGAGGAAGTTCTTCGAGAAAACCATCTATTGTGTCAGCAATTTGAGGCTGCATATCCTTTAGTGTCATGCGTTGTAAATCGAATGCAAAAGTTTTTTTTAGACATGTGCGGAAAGCTCGGGGTGAATTAATTACTTCCATTTCAAAACAGCAAGACATTCAACAATCAGTGACATGATTTCATTCGCAGCAGGAGTTTCTCCGTCGTGAAGAAGTTGTGTGTCTTGTCACAATAAATTGTCTTGCAAGTAGGTTACCACACGTTGATACAGTTTTTCAGGCCGTTCGGCAGGTTCCCAAGTGATTTCGACATATTTCATAAAGCCCAATGCAGACGAGGAACATTTTAAGCGAACAATCGTAAAAATTTTGTTACGATCATTTTTTTCTCCGTCTGCGGATTACAGAAACACGAACAAAAACGTTTGTGAGAATTGTTCGTGAAATCAAACATGTTTGATTTTTTAAAATTGTTCGCCTCCCGAACAATTCTTTGTTCACCGTCTGCGTTAACGACAAACATTAGCGCTGAACATTCATCGACGAAAGACCAATCAGCGATTCCGCTTTTAAACAGGAAAGCTCAAAATAACGAATTTCAAATCTACTTCCGTTGAATAACTTCCAGTGTAATTTAAGTAGGTCAACAAAATTTAGCTGATCTTTAGCAAATAAAATTCTATGGCCGATTTTAAAATAAAATCCAGACCGGAAGTGATACTTCGGCCGCCATATTGAAAAAACTCAAAATGGCGCCTCAGGGTAATGTTGATATGCTCAAATTTGATGTGTATGTATTTTGCAATCGATTGCGCAAAAACCATTGGAAGCTGAATTTTGAATTTCGGTTTTGCTCTTTTGCAACTTCCGGTTGAATTTTTTTCAAACTTTAAACGCTCATACCACGTGACCTTGACCTCTGATGACCTTGACCTTTATGTGGTCCAAGGTCATTGACCTTGGCTATCAGTTGATACTTTGACATTTGACTTTCGACATGTACTTCCAGTTTTATAGCTGTCCGAAAAAAAGTTAAACTCGCAACTTTGGACTGCCCAGCACGTGACCTAATTAACCTAGAGGGTTAATTTTTTCGGTTTCCTAATGTGCTTGATATATAACAATTGTATTTTTAAAGCAAAATTGAAATTTCGTGGTTTTTTTAAAAACATTTCTGTCTCTTTGAGCTTGGTGAATGTATTTCTTATGACCTATTAAAATTGTTTACATTTAGGGGGAGGGGCATAATTTGCATAGGATACATTTGTTCAAAAAGAGACTTTGCAAACAATTGCCTCGTCCTTTTGGCTAGTTTGTGTGAACAGCTCAATTGTTTCAGTTTTAAAGGAACGGGTTTTAAATTTCCATATTTTCAATTTTCGACCTTTGACTTTTGTTGACCTATATCTTTTGACCTGTATTATGTTTAAGCTTGAAATTTGATACACAACATAACATTTTGAATATCAATTAATTCATGTCAAATAAATGAGGTGGGCGTGGCACATCCGGGTTAAATTACTCATTATTGACATTTTTGGACAGAGGCATAACTCAAAAAGCATACATTTGTTGAAAATGGAACTTTGCATACAATTACCTCATGTTTTGAGCCACTTTGTATTAGAAGGTCAATTGTTCCAGCTACATAGTTCCAAAAAAGGAACAGGTTTTGGAACTTCAAAATTTTCAATTTTTGACATTGACCTTTGTTGACCTTGACCTTTGTAGGATCAAACATCATTGGCATTGGCTATCTATTTATACTTTTATATTTGCTGTATTATGTCCACTTCCGGTTTTATAGCCGTGTGCAATTTGAAATTTTGATGACTTATATCTCTTGATCTTAACCTTTACAAGATCAAAGGTCATTGACCTTGGCTATCTGCTGATACTTTCATTTGTGTGGTCTGGCATCTACTTCCAGTATTAGAATCTTCTAAATAATAAAAATATTCAACTTAAGACTGTTTTTGCACTTTACCTAATTGTCGTCCAAGGCTGATTTTTCTAGGGTCTTTAGCAAATTGCTACATTCCGACTCAAGTGCCACGAGTGGCTCTAGTGATACTATTGGATCTTGTCAAGGGCAGCAACTTTTTAGGTCACCAAATAGATCAAAGGTACAAGATAAAAGCTTTGAAAGTTTTACCCAATGATGAAAAAAATCAACTGGAAAAAATTGGCTCTCATAGTTTTGTTAGCAATTGATTTATAATTCTGTAGGTTCCAAAATATCGTTTTCAAGAACGAGGTCAATATAACTCATATAAAATAATGTTCAATTAATTTGTTTTCAATAGGGTTCATCCATGGGTGATAGCAAACACCCACACCAAATTTCATCAAAATCCGTTAAGAATTGTGCTTTGTGGAGTGTTTATGAGTTGGACAAAAATTGGACAAAGGAAAGAACAAATACAATAATGCTGAACAATTCTCGATTTTTCTGATTTTCAACAGGGTTTATCCTTGGGTAATTGCAAATGTATGGAAGGGGATCGTTGCCAGAAGTATTTACAAAGTCAAACTTGAAAACAAGACCTCGACTTTACAAAGTCATATTTCCACATTACACAATTACAAAATAAACCTTCCTAAAATCAAAAAGTCAATGTACTTATTACAAAGTAGAGATATTGATAGTTTACTTTTCAAACTTTATTTCACATCAGATACCATTCAAACTTTCCTTTACATTATTGACATTATCAACTATGTCTTCTTGACTTTGCATTCGTGAAAGATGTAAGTTTGACCACTGTATTCTTGAGAGTTGTAAAGTAAACTTCTGCATTCTTGAACGTTTACCATATAAGTTAACGTGACCTACTTCATTTAAATCATCTGGAAATTCACGGAAACTAATGGAAATATAAATCAATAATTGCTCCGTGTCAAAGGGATTTAAATAAGCCTCAAAACCGGATGTTGAAATGCGACATTGGTCAATTGACACTTCGTCATTACTTCAGAGGCCAGCCAATTTTTGTGGCCGATGGATACACTAATTTTTTGGATTGATTGTAATTGTTGTAATTAAATCAAAAAACGAAAAATTTGTAGTTCATTTCTTATTCAAATAAAGCCTCTAAAATGTCGTGTAATGAATAGAATCATTACATAGTTATCAACATTTCTTTGGCCAGTGACAGATATCCAATATGGATATTGAAAAATGGCCAATTTTTTCCAATGGTCTCCTTTGGACTTATGAATGCAATTGTTGGTGTCATTGAGGTCCTGAGATGCCAATTTAACATATTAAGGTGTACAATGGGGAGAAATGCTCTTTATTCCTATAATTTCTCAAATATGGCCAGTGACGAATATCCAATATGGCGGACTGGCCAGTCAAAGACGTGGCTAATTTTTGCACAGTCTACAGTAATGAGGGTGGGGCGGACTGGATGGAATTGGCACAAACCTAATCACATAGTGCCTTCCAACATAATGGTACTTTCATGCCTAACTCTATTATTGGCCAGTCCGCCATACTGAATATTCGTCACTGGCCATATTTGAGAAATTAACAGAGTTGGGCATGAAAATATCATTATGTTGGAATTTTAGAGATATTCACAGGTCTGAAGGCACTATGTGATTGAGTTTGTGCCAATTCCTTCCAAAAATCTGCCCCACCTCCATTACTAAGGACTGTGCAAAAATTGGCCATGTATGGGCTTTGTCTTTGACTTACTAGTCCACCATATTGAATATTCGTCAATAGCCATATTTTAGGGATTATAGGAATAAAAAGCATTTCTCCCTATTGTACACCTTAATATGTTAGATTGGCATCTCAAGACCTCAATGGCACCAACAATTGCATTCATAATTCCAAAGGAGACCATTGGAAAAAATTGGCCATTTTTTAATATCCATATTGGATATCCGTCACTGGCCAAAGAAATGTTGATAACTATGTAATGATTCTATTCATTACACGATATTTTAGAGGTTTTATTTGAATAAGAAATGAATTACAAATTTTTCGTTTTTTGATTTAATTACAACAATTACAATCAATCCAAAAAATTAGTGTATCCATCGGCCACAAAAATTGGCTGGCCTCTGAAGTAATGACGAAGTGTCAATTGACCAATGCCGCATTTGAACATCCGGTTTTGAGGCTTATTTAAATCCCTTTGACACGGAGCAATTATTGATTTATATTTCCGTTAGTTTCCGCGAATTTCCGGATTATGTAAATGAAGTAGATCACGTTACCTTATATGGTAAACGTTCAAGAATGCAGAAGTTGACTTTACAACTCTCAAGAATACAGTGGTCGAACTTACATCTTTTACGAATGCAAAGTCAAGAAGACATAGTTGATAATGTCAATAATGCAAAGTTAAGAATTCATTTTCGTACAGGAAAGTTTGAATGGTGTCTGATGTGAAATAAAGTTTGAAAAGTAAACTATCAATATCTCTACTTTGTAATAAGTACATTGACTTTTTGATTTTAGGAAGGTTTATTTTGTAATTGTGTAATGTTGAAATATGACTTTGTAAAGCCGAGGCCTTGTTTTCAAGTTTGACTTTGTGAATACTTTTGGCAACAATCCCCATCTATACAAATGCAAGGTAATGGCGTTATTGAAGGGGACATAACTCATTAGTTTAGCCATACTTGCTTTGTCAAATAATTAATTCATGTTTCATTTAAAATAACTGT